AGATCGGCCGATAACAAATAAAAGAAAAGCCGGTGGGATAGCAGAGAGAGAAGACGAAAGAGAACTAGAGAAGTAGAGCAACACGGGCGGAGCTAGAGGGGCCAGCTTAGGCCAAGGCCCACCTCAAATTCAAAAAACGTTTTAACTTTTAAGTAAAAAATTTGTTTAGTTTTTTAACGTTTTAACTTTTAAGCAACACGTACAAAAAATATTCTTTGTACTGCTCCAGTACGGCCCAATGCCTTGACTCCGCACTTAGAGAGCAGATGAGAGAAATATAAGATGAAGAGCGAGAGAAGGGAGAGAAAATGTGAGAAATACTACCTCCGTTCTTTTTTAGTTGCAACGGTCAACATTTCACACTTGCCAACGCACGTCTTTGACCGTAATTATTTCTTAATCTCTATTAGTAAAAAATATTTAAAAATTAGATTTTGAAAATTTGTAATGAGATGAATTGAACAATATTTTTTTAAAAAAATAATTTTCATAAAATAATAATATAAAATGTAGTCAAAGTAGAACATGTGAATAGTGTAAAATTCAACATGTTGCGATTAAAAAGAGACGGATGATAGTATAAAATTAAAAGCGAAGGTGGAAACGACTGAACGGGGAAAATTAGAAGTTATACATTAATTATTTGATGTCTTGGATTGCCACTATACATTAATTATTTATATATTTTAACGTTCTGATATAACCAATGTATTTGATTGACTATAAAAATACAAGTTCGTGTACTTTAAAATTTCAAATGCAAGATAAAGTACTACTTACTCCCATCGATACAACTTCGTGTACCATTTTGACCATTTTCTCTACATAATACATAGGATTAGTGTGTTCACTAACCTACTTATACAAAAACTCGATTTAGATGAATTATCCTTCAATTCATATTCTATTTTCTTAGTGCTGTCACAGAATCGTACAGGTACTAGTATATTACAATTTGATGGCATCTATGCATTAATGTATAATGTATAACTAATATTACTATCATGAAGCTTGTGCTGCCAATTTGAAAAAATTGTTCGCCTTACCTGTTTCCTAGTAGTTTACGAAGCCTGAGTATTAACAGCGCTTCACCTTCAGCTATGTTGCCTCTCTTGATGTTTAACCTAAGATAATTTAACCACCTTCACCTGCAGCTCTTCCCACACCTATTCAAACTCTCAAGAACACGAAAACCATAATGGCAAATGCCAAGAGGGCAAAAATAACCTGATTTCAGATTTTGAGGGCCACGTTTTTTCATTTTTAGCACCACGTCTATATGAGTTTATCGTCGTCTTCAGCTGTCCATGCTCCGTGTACATTCTTTCTAGCTGTTCCACTCTTTCTCAAAACCATGACAGAAAGGTTACTGGTTGGTTGTTCAGAGAGGAATGTGGACGTGATTGTGATTGTGTTTTCTTTTTGTGTACTTGCCTCTCTACTCGAGAGATGTTTGTGTGGTTAGACGACCATTTTAAAAGCACTTTTATAAATAAGCTCGTTTCTAAAAGGAATGATCTCAGTGCGTTTAATTAGAGAAATGTGCTTTTCATTTAACTCTATGACCCAAATGGTAAAACTAAAAAATGGCTAAAGCGGTTAAATGTAATGAATATTTGGAGTCAGGAGGAAAATGACTGAAACTATTGAATACTTCAAGAAATAATGACATGTCATTTCATCTTTCTGCATCCCATCGCTAGAGAGATAATTCTTGAGGGCGTGTATCAACTAGAAGATGCAAATCCTAATCTTCCCCTCCCGGATCTTTAAAGATCATCTCCAATGGAGTCAGAACCCTAGCCACGGATTGTTGAGCGGCGACAGCCCTAGTCTGGTCTAGGTTATTAGGCGGGCGGCACTGAGAGTTTCTTGGCGCTTTGGAGTCCCGGAGGTTGCTAGTTTTGTCTGGAGCGCAAGGCGGAGTGCTGGAGTGTTCGGACTTGCAGGATTGCGTCGGAAATCAATAGCAGCACATGAGGAGATTCACCGATTGATTTCTCCTGGGTTAGCGTTCATTGGGGCTTTGTTGATTTTAGCAGTAGTTTCCAATTGATCTGAGCAGCGGGAAGGCAAGTTCTACGGCGGATAAAATGATCTTAAATGATCTTAAGTTTAGGTCTTAAACTTCCCATTTAGATTGCATTTCCCTAAATAATAAATCCAGGTAAGCTTACTATATTTCGTTTTATCATGATAAATTTCCTTGATAACTTCCTCACACTTCACCTGTGACAAGAGCAACATAAATTATACGATGCGGTTGCAGGGGGTACACTCGCCATTCACTCAATCACGGTTTAAATTTTATAGGATCTAATATGAGGAACAACCAAAAACAAACAAAACCAGAAATAGAGAATTTGAGGTCATTTAAATACATTATGAATACCAAATGATTCAGAAATACGTAGAAAAAGACACTAATGTAAATCAATATTTGAAATACATCCATAATCTTCAAATTCAATATACTGGAATAACACAAACAAAATCAATTAATAAATCATAGTTAATACAACCTGAAATACCTGTAATCAATTCGAACATGTGACCTAGCCGCGAAAGTTTAATACTCGAGAATCAAAATTTTCCTGAGAAGAAGGTCGGCCCAAAGATTTAGCGACATCATTTGTTCAAAGAATTGGCAGGAATAACATAAAAATTAAACGAGTTGTACAAGGAAATGATAAGAAAATAAAATATAGAAGGAAAGGGCAACTCATCTGATCGAACTGAAACAGGGGTTGAAGGGGATCTGACCTTCATCCGTAAGTTGGAAGACTTTAGTAGAAAAGAAATGTTCTTAGTACGAGTATTCTCTAAGAGAGTCTACAAACCCCTTTAAATGGCACTTTTATTAGCCAACACCATATTTGTTACTACGCATTATAAAGATTGATTTTCTTTGTAGTATTCCAAAACTTAAAAGTTATCACATGTATGTAAAAATAAAGATAACATTACCCAAAATAGAATTAAAAAGATCTGAAAATTCTAAAATACGAATGTCACATTTTTAATCCAAAAATATGACTAATTACTGTCACACTTTGGCAGTACCCGAATTCAAGCATGATAGTATTTTCTAAACTTGGTAATAATTACTCCTATTTTGTGAATAAAAAACATGTCAGTCCTATTTTGGAATTTTCAAACTATTTTAGTCCTATTTCGGGAACTTTCCCGAAAATAAACCATCTATTTTCGATTGGAATAATTATTTGATTTGAATTATGAAAGGAAGATATATTTTTAGTGAATAAGCATTTCTTTTAAGTTAATGTTCATTTTTTAGTTGTTAAACAACAACAAGAATGATGATGATGACTATGAAAGCACTATAAATTAATATTTTTTTCTAAAGATATGTTTGGATAAATATATCACACATAAGACGTTCCCAATATATAAAAATTAGTTTGTATGTATTAACAACCAACATTATAATCGATAAGATACTCGAATTTTCATTAGTTATAATAACCCATACATATTTCAACACCAGCATGCGCGCGCGCGCACACACATATATATAAATGTGTGTATATATATAGTGAAATTAAAAATAAAAATATTTTATCCCGTGCACGGCACGGGTAACGATACTAGTTAAACTACATTTCATACTTGTTGCTAAATTTTCAAATTGTAAATGTTATTTTAATTTCGTAGAATTTTAAACATTGTGTCATAACAGTTCAATAAAATTAGATCCTCGAATTTTAAACCATGTCTTATATATAAGTTATAAAGGTAATACTAGAAAATTATTTCTCCGTTATAATAAATGATTTTTTAAGAGTATAAATTTATCTAATAAATAAGACCTACAAATTTTATCGTATACTAAAATTAGGAGTATTCACCGGTTCAAAATTGTACGTGAATCATATCGGAATTGGTTTTGCAAAAAAAAAAACAGAAACCGAACCTGATGTATTGCAGCTTTTAACTGAAACCGAACCAGTTTGACCAGTTCACAACAAAAACTGGACCACAAAATCAGTTTCTAAATTATTGACTTTTCAAAAATATCCACCACAACTTAAAAGAATATTTGGTAGCTAAAATAAAAAATTGTTATAAATAAAATGAAGTGATAATTGCATAGACCCGCAAAATAATAAATCTATTTAGAGTCCGTTTGGTATAGTAATATGAAAATCAGCTGATTTGGCTGATTCTGTTGAAATTTATGAATTTCTGGCTAATGTGGTTGCATTGACTGATTCTGTTGAACACCGCGTTGTGCGGGAACGCCTTCCCGTTCTTGAACTGGAAGGAACTCATAAAGTCTATTTTATTTTTTAATGTTCAGGAGTACTGATTAGGGTTGTATACGAATCAAATAATTTGTGCTCGATTCGAGATTCGAATTCGTATAAGACGATTCGAATTCGAAAAATTCAAATACAAATACAAATAAGAATACTAAATTTGATTCGAATTATTATCAAATACAAATACAAATATCAGTATATTCGATTCGAATGTTAATCAAATATATTCGATTCGAATGTTAATCAAATATATTCGATTAATAATAGTGATAATAGTAATAGTAATAGTAATAATATTAGTAATAACACTATAGTAACTTTTAAAAACTAGCTATACCTTCAAAGTGCAGCCCATATATATACATTTATGTATAAGTATTTCAAGCCAATTTGTAATAAAGCAGAAGTATCATGAGGGTTATAAACGTAACAAAACAAATAATTTTAATTCGATTTGCGATTTCGATTCATAAAGAAAAATGTAATGTTACAAAGTTCACTATAGTACATTGTGCACAACCTAAAAATGCATTGATCCATTAAATTTTAAACCATAGCATGCATTCATAACATAAAAAAAAGGAAAAATTGTTTTAAAGTGATATTTGTCAAATATTAACTTATGATCAAATCGATTCGATATTCATATATGATTCGTTAACTATTTGTATTGTTAAACAAATACAAATACAAATCTAAAATAATATTCGTTTCATATTCGAATTTGGATTCGTAAAAATTAAACGAATACAAATACAAAATCACAGTATTCGACTCGATTCGATTCGTTTACAACCCTAGTAGTAGTGATAATAAGTAGTGTTGGTAATGAGTTTTTATTTCGTTTTGTTTGTGCACTATACAGAAATAAGTTAATAAGTTATGCCCATGCTTTGTCACAAATTAGTTTGTCAGGCCCACTCAGTATGCATGCACGTTTTCATCAATGGAAAAGGTTCGGACAAATGTTTGCCTCCGGTAGTTGGGAGGAGAGCATTTCCGCTGATTTGGTTTACTCAAATTTTAATCAATGGCAAAGGCGTTTGTGGAGCTGGTTCTCATCCCTTCTCCGGCGATGGGCCACGTCGCCGGGATGCTGGAATTTGCTAAACTCCTCCTACACCGATCTGAGGAGATCTGCATAACCGTCGTCATCATCAAGCTTCCTGATTACATCGATTCCGTCAGCGGTACATTTGTGGACACCGTCGTCGGTTCTACACACGAAAGCCGCCTCCGTTTCTTCCATATGCCGCCGATCGATCCGTTACCGGAGTGGAGCTCCAAAACTCGAGGCCACTTCGTCTACATGCTGCTGCAGAACCAGAGCACTCACCTCAAAGCATTCTTCCATCGCCGTCTCCATGACACCGGCCCTGATTCCGCCTCTCCGAAGATCGTCGGTGTGATTGTCGACATGCTGGCCACTCAATTGATGGATGTCGCCGTCGATTTAGGGATTCCGACCTACGTGTTCTTCACCAGCAGCGCGGCGTTTCTCGGCCTGATGCTCCACTTCCAGATTCTCCAGGATGAGAAGGGGCAGGACGTGACTGAGTTCGCGAATTCGGAGACCGAGTTGGACTTTCCGAGTTACGCTAACTCGGTCCCTCCCAGCGTGTTGCCGAAGGTTCTAGTCGACAAGGACACGTGGCAAGGCCGTTTCCACAAGTTCGCTCGCGACTACAGAAAGGCAAAGGGCATTATCGTCAACACGTTCCCCTCATTGGAATCCCACGCCATAACTGCCTACAACAATTCCGGCGACCTTCCGCCGCTCCACACGGTGGGACCGATCGTGAACCGGGCTCGACCGCCCCCTGGCGAGCAGATCTGCGGCAGGATAATGAAATTTCTGGACGAGCAGCCGCCGGAATCCGTAGTGTTGGTATGCTTCGGGAGCCAGGGGAGCCTGCCGGAGGAGCAAGTGAGAGAGATCGCCGACGGAATTGAGCGGAGCGGGTTCCGGTTCATATGGTCCCTCCGGCGGACTCCCCTCCGCGAGGACGAGAACAGAAAAGCGCAGTTCCCGGGAGACTACACAGATTACGAAGAGATCTTACCCGCCGGGTTTCTCGGCCGGACGGCGGGAACAGGGCTGGTGGCGGGATGGGTCCCGCAGCTGGACATACTGTCGCACAAAGCGGTGGGAGGGTTCGTATCTCACTGCGGATGGAACTCGGTAATGGAGAGCATATGGTGCGGGGTTCCGATAGCGACGTGGCCGGTGCATTCGGAGCAGCAGGTCAACGCTTTTCAGTTGGTCAGAGAGCTGGGAATTGCGGTGGAGATAAGCCTGGACTACTGCGAGAGGAGTGTGAGGGAGGCTGGAAACGGAATGGCTGTAACGGCGGAGCAGATAGAGAGAGGAATTAAGAGAGTGATGGAGGACAGTGGAGTGAGGAAGAAGATGGCAGAGATGAAGGCGGAGAGCCGCAAGGCTTGCGAAGATGGATCTCACATTTCCACGCTCATAGCGCGGTTAATTACTTAGGAACATGTTTGGTGGCTCCAAAAAACCACTTCAATAAATGAATTACTCCACTTTAATGAGTTGCTTTTGCGAACCACAAAAATAGGGTAACGATACAAATTAGGATACAAACATTGTTTCGGTGTTTGGTTTGGGTTTGGTTTGGGTGGGGTTCTGTTTTTCTCAAATATTACCAAGAATGCATAAAAAGAATTAGAGCTCGTTTGGTAACACTGAAATTGACTGTATTGGTTGATTCTGCTGAAATTTATGAAGTTCTGGCTGTGTTGACTAATTCTGCTGATTCATGAAAAAATTATATTTAAAATATTTGTTATTAATAAATAAAATAAAAAAATTATATGAAAAAATAGCTAAAAGTATCTTCTGCAGTAACTTCAGCCAATACATCAAGAAAAGTAACTCCAACCTTACCTTTTCTATTTATTACACAATCCAGCGCGCGAAATCAAAAGTTACGTGTTCGATGACAAAGCTGGCTGATAAGCCTGATAAGCCGAAAAAGGGGTCACCAAACGGGCTCTTAATTTAATACTCCCTCCGTTTTTTGTGAAGATGAATACTGCTTTATCATAATAGTGTCTAGCTTCCGACCTTAATGTTGGAATATCATTTTTTTTATCGCCAACTATATAGCCTTCTTTCAAGTCATAAGTTTCAGGATCATTACATCAATCAAAGGAAAAACAAAATTGATACCAACTAAAATCCAAACAACTACGGCTGTAAACCTTATGATCAGACTTAGAGACGGTCACCCTTGAAAGAGCAACGCGAATCGCTAACCATGTATCGGGCTTAACACAGCCATCCATGTTCCCATAGATCCTGTTGAGGTTTATCCTTCAACCTGCAGCCCAACACGTAAGTCCAAGGATTTCGAATGGAAGTGTATGTGAATATGAGATGCTAGCAAGTAAGATGGGCTAAGAAATATATGCAATAGTGGGCCGAGTATTATTAAGATCTAATAACTCATCGTTACACTGCACTTATGCTAAGGTCAACGGCCGTACGTCTCACACTCGAGTATAAGAGCTGCGAGTAATAAACTAAGAGCTATCTGAATACTAGAATGCTAAGGCGGGTAAGTTGTCAACCTCTTACAATGAAATAAATGTTACTATTTATACTACCAAGGGGCAGTTGAATATGCTGAAGTGGAGAGCTGTAGATGGCTGAAGCCTCAACCACAAAATCTCTAGCATTAAATGCGCTTCCCGCCAAGACATTTGTTTCCCGCCTATTCATGGAGACGAGCGTCCTCCCGAAGCGAGTTATCCGATTAGAGTGTTGGTGTTCTCCAATGGGTTGATTCCTCAGTTCAGTTGGACTTGGGGAGTATATTACATATGCGACCGATGAAAATTTTCCACCCTTTGTAGTTTGGGTTGCTATATTGGGCTTTGTGTAAAAAATGAAAAGTGGGTTGGAGTTTATGAGCCCGTTAGGTAGCACGAAAATCGGTTGTTTTGGCTGATTCTGTTGAAATTCATGAATTGCTAGCTGAAATGGCTACATTGGCTGATTCTGCTGATTTAAGAAAAAAAAATTTTAAAATATATTTTATTAGTAAAATAAAGAAAAAAATTATATGTAAAATAGCTAAAATGATCATCTACAGTAACTTCAGCTAATACAGCCAGAAAAGTAACTTCAACCTTACTTTTTCTGCTTATTACACAATTTAGCGCGCGAAAGCTAAAGTTACGTGTTTGGTGAAAAAGTTGGCTGATAAGCCTGATTAGCCGAAAAACAATGTTGCCAAACGGTCTCTATATTTGTAAACAAGCACACAAGCCGTACAGTCCAAGTGGATTATTTTTCTGAAGTTTATTTATTTGCTTGGCTTAATACTTTCTATAAGCATATTGTTTTAGATTATACTCTATTCGTCCTCTAATAACTGTCCTCTTAGGTTTTTCACGATTATTACAAAGAAAATAGTAGGAATAATATATAGGGTATGGTATATGATAAATGAAAAAGTAAAAAAAGAGAATATTGAGAAGAGAAAAGTAGTGAAAAGTATGAAAGACACAGCAGTTTGTGAAATGATAAGATTCATAAAAGTGAGGGTATAATGATATTTTGATAGAAAAATTTACCAAAATGGGAAAGAGAATATGAGACAGTTATTATAAAAAGAGAGAGAGCAGTTTTTTAAAAAGATTATTTACATTATAATTGAAAAAACACAATAGATTTTATTTTGGTCCACTCAAATATAAATATATGAACAATGTACACAGTACACTTTTGTGTTCAATTTTTTGTTAATAAAAAATAAGTACATGTTTAATTCGCATGTTACTAAGTTGTGCTAATTAAGACTTTCATTAATAAGCGACGTGTAAAATAAGCAGTGTTATAAGCTCATATTTTTACCTCACACGATTTAAAACATCATTTACCATTAAAATATCCAAAATAACTCTATACATATATAGACACAAACATTCATGTGCACAAGTATATATGTATATAATATGTGAGGATCTACCTCCACCCCTACCCCTACCATGCCCCTACCACGACCCTCTGGTAGGTTGGGGTAGGGTACGGGCCACGAGTTGGGGGTAGGGGTAAGGGTAAGGGTACTAGGTAGGGGTAAGGGGGAAGGGGTTACGGGGGAAGGGATACAGGATAGGGGCAGGCGTTAGTAGGGTAGGGGGGCAGGAGTATAGGGGACGTGTAGGGAGTGGGGTATGGTTAGTTTAAAGGTAATGCGGGGGTAGGGGTATGGGGACAAGTAGGGGTAGTTATGGGTAGGGGTAGCGGTATGAGCACTAGCTCGGGGTAGGGGTAACCGTAGTAGGGGTGGGGTTAGGGGTACGCGTACGAGCAGGGGAAGGGCTAGGGGAAAGGGTACGAGTAGGGGCAATGTTTGGGTGGGGTCTGGGTAAGGTAGAGTATAGGGTAGTGGTGGGGTAGGTGGGTCTAGGTAATGTTAGGGGTGGGGGTAAGGAAGGAGTAATAGTAATGGTAGGGGGTAGGCGAATGGTAGGGTAAATTCAGAAACTGAAAAAACTTAAACTGCCACTTAATTAATACATAGGATGTGATATACTTAGTAAGACACTTGCACCTTTTGGGGTTAGTGAGCATTTTTTTAAGCTGTGTTTATTTCGCATGTCTTACTATCCTAATCGTGACTTTAGAAGTGAAGTAAACATACATGTCCTAAATTGTTAACATTATTTTCATTCTTAAGTTATTTATTCTAAATGAATGGATTAAATGTGTCAGAGAGATGTTACTAATTTTTGTTACAATCATGTATTGGAAGAATTCTTTTGAAAGGAATAAGTATGGGAGAAAAAGTATTAATATCAAGTTTCAAAGAACCGTTATGTCTAACACTTTCATATGCAATGAAAATAAACAAAAAACAAGAACAATATTTGCGTAATATTGATTGGTCAATTTCATATGTTATGAATAAAGATGTCTTTTTCTTCACAAAAAAAAAAAATTGATTGGTCAATTATATGTTGGTTTAAAAGTTGTTACATGTGATAAAGATGTTAGAGAGATTAATATAACAAAAATGTATATCAAAATATCTTTCAATTGTTTTAAACATTTATCCATTTTATATGTCGTATGGATTTTCGTTTACATATTTATTTTCTCTATTTTATCATATTTCACATTTCATTGTGCTTTGTATCACATGGTGATATGATATGTTAGAGTTAATTTCCTGTGCATCGCACGGGTACTATACGAGTTACCAAGAATGCATAAAAAGAATTAGAGTCCGTTTGATAACACTAAAATTGGCTGTATTGGCTGATTCTGCTGAAATTTATGAAGTTCTGCTTGAAGTGGCTGTAATGGCTGATTCTGCTGATTCATGAAAAATTATATTTAAAATATTTGTTATTAATAAATAAAATAAAAATTATATGAAAAATAGCTAAAATGATCCTCTACAGTAACTTCAGCCAATACAACAAAAAAAGTAACTCCAACCTTACTTTTTCTACTTATTACACATTCCAGCGCGTGAAATCAAAAGTTACATGTTTGATGACAAAGCTGGTTACTAAGCCTGATACGCTGAAAAAAGGGGTCACCAAACGGGCTCTTAATTTAATACTCCCTCCATATTTTTTTTTTGAAGATGAATATTGTTTTATCAGAATAGTGTCGAGCTTCCGACCTTAATGTTGGAATATCATTTTTTTATTGTCAACTATATAGCCTTCTTTCATGTCATAAGTTTCAGAATCATTACATCAATCAAAGGAAAAACAAAATTGATACCAACTAAAATCCAACAACTACGATTGTAAATCCTATGATCAGACTTAGAGACAGTCACCCTTGAAAGAGCAACGCGAATCGCTAACCATGTATCGAGTTTGACACAACCATCCATGTTCCCATAGATCCTGTTGAGGTTTATTCATTCAACCCGCATGCCCAACACGTAAGCCCAAGGATTTCGAATGGAAGTGTGCGTGAATATGAGATGCTAGCAAGTAAGATGGGCTATGAAATATATGCAATAGTGGGCCGAGTATTATTAAGATCTAATAACTCCTCGTTACACTGCACTTATGTTAAGGCCAACGGCCGTACGTCTCACACTCGAGTATAAGAGCTGCGAGTAATAAACTAAGAGCTATCTGAATGCTAGAATGCTTAGGCGGGTAAGTTGTCAATCCCTTACATTGAAATAAATGCTATTATTTATACTACCAAGGGACAGTTAAATATGTTGACGTGGAGAGTTGTAGATGGCTGAAGCCTCAACCACCAAGTCTCTAGTATTAAATGCGCTTCCCGCCAAGATATTAGTTTCCCACCTATTCATGGAGACGAGCGTCCTCCCGAACTTGGGATTTGCCCTTGGTAATATCTGCAAAGGGTTGCGGGCCGTACATCTTCTGACCCTTGTGTAAATGTGCGTTAGTTAGCTTGGGGCTTTATCTCATGTGGCCCTAGACAAGGTGTGGCGACGTCTGTCGTGTCTGCCTTGTGCCTGGAGGCGTAACTGCTACGGGTTGTGGAGACATTCGTCTCTACCCACTGAGACCCATTGTCTTGAGTTACATTTTTACAAACATGTAGTGTGCTTCAAAGTGTGACTTTGACTGGTAAAAATGTCTGAATGAATTATTTAGACGGGTAGAAAAATCACAAATTGTTGAAGCATACTAGGTGCTTGTAAAAATGTTAAAATGAATTTGTTGTGACCCAAGACAGTAGGATTCAATAACGGCGATACCAATTAATATTATAGAGTTCAATACTTCAGTCGCGCAAAACA